AACTGACTGCATAAATAATTATTTATTTTTCAGTTGTACCAATTTTTTTCTTTTTAGTTCAGTGGTAGTACAATCAATAACGTAAGAAGCGTAACGGAAGTAGGAATACAGTCTATCGCGATAAAGAGATTAGGTCACGAGTTATACATTTCGGTGGCGCCATGAGGACCATGTGTACGCGCGTGTATGTGGAAAATGTGTACGCACAGGACGATTCAGGAGCGCCTAAGGTGGGTGATCGAGGGGGGTCGCCATGGCGACCGCCCGGGTCGATTCCCACGTCTTTGGTCCGTCGGTGGAAAATCAACAAGCAGGATCCTGCTTTATCGCGATCCATTTCGCGATTAATCAACAATATACAACGTCTGGAAAGATTCACTATTCGCGTGTACACCAAATGTGATCGACTTGCTCGTTCGTCAGCAGAGATTCTGCGTATCAATATTCACAAAGCTTTCAATGACTATGGAACAAATTGCAATACTAGGTTAGGGACGTACGTATCATAAATATTACCACGTTCACTTCCGCGTTAGCTTCCTATGTACGGAGATGTTTTCGATATCCAAATTGTAGTACGAAAAATGGAACTAATTAAATTATGTACTCCTGGCTTCGTAGCATTCCTAACGACACTAGCGCTGTTTTACAAGTACAGGTGGCCATCCTACAAAACGACATCCTAAAACACGGTTTCGTTCTGACACGAAAAGAAAACTGCGAAAACCTTTGTACAACACCGTACTTCCCCAGCACCGGATAACATGATTTCTGCTTAACATATTTAAAAACTGAATTACCTTAAAATTTACATTTAAGGCTTTACGTGAAAATATATAAAGAAATTATAATTTGTTGAATTAAGGTTGCGTTAAATTAAAATAATATTTTTTTATTTTTTTTGTGTTATACGTAAAATTTAAAAAAAATATTTGTTTTTAATAAGTTTTCGGAATGTAACCCCCCTTTTTATACTGGCTGTGGGTCTCATATAACACGGTTTCACGCAACACGGCATTTTCTAGGAACCTATCTACCGTTTTATAACGTGTAGCCATTGGACACTATTGTCCAACTAGGATATATTATCACCACGATAAATTTTACGTTCATTTTAGTGGGTACAATCCTTTTATTAAATTAAAGGGATTTTATGTAAGATATACAGGGTGTTCGGCCATCCCAGGGAAAAATTTTAATGGGAGATTCCAGAGGGCTAAATAAGACGAAAATCAAGAATAACAATTTGTTGATTGAGACTTCGTTAAAAAGTTATTGATGTTTAAAGTTCCATCTGTAGAACGGCAATCTGCGAACAGCTGCGTACGCGTGATAGTGATCCTCACTCAGAAAACTGTAAGACTGTCGATACGTCACCAAGTAGAGATTCTCATGCTGGGTGAGAACCACTAACGCGCGTGCGCAACTGTTCGCAGATTGCCTATCCACAGACGGAACTTTAAACGTTAATAACTTTTTAACGAAGCCCCAAATCAACAAATTGGTATTCTTGATTTTCGTCTTATTTTGGCCTCTAGAATCTCCCATTAAAATTTTTCCCAGGGGTGGCCTAACACCCTGTATTATTTTACAATATTGCGATGTAACATCGCACGCGACAAAACGGAACTAAAGTAGGGTACATTTTATTTACGAGTAACGATATTTTTAATTCGTTCGTGAACTAAAATCCATCGACGGATTTTTTAAATTAATTTTAAATTATCCGCGAATAAACATTGCCCGACCGTGAACGAAACTACGATGCTGTTGATGTTAACGTAAACGTAAATTAGACAATGTGAAACAAGCGGACGAGAAATGAATAATCCGATGGCGAAACGACCAAACGCAACGTCAGGCATCACGGGTGTGAAATTTCGAAACAATGAAGACTTATCGATGCGATTAATTATTTACGCTAGTTCTACATCACGTTTTGTTGCGCCCGATAAGAGTGTAGTACAATGAAATATTTAGATTGCTATTATTCCGTGCAATTAGCCGGAATGGATCGGTAAGAGGCCATGTTTATTCGTCGCGCCCGACACGCGAATGTCAGTATGCTATTATTGGTGCACCGCTATCATCGTGTAATTTTAACGTGACATCCGGGTTATTGAAAATATAATCAGTTTTACGATTGCATCGCATATCGGATCAACGTCTGTAATCAACATCGAAAGGGCATCAACCTCTCGTTTCCATCTACTTTACGCGTTTAAAGTCCGTGAAGCTCGTAAAAAAGCTCTATTATGTATGCAAGAATACAGTGGCGGCTATAGAAAATGGCTACAGGGGGCATTAACAACCCTCCGCTAACAACAAAAATCTATTATCTCAGTTTCGTTTAATTGTTCGTTGACGAATATTGTACGTCAACCATTTGATATTTCTTATTTCTCGAAATCTCAAACATTTCTTGTGATTTTTTCTCAACGCCACCCCACGAGTTCCATATTCTATCGAACAGCTTCGAATAAAGATTCCACCCGTAACTCCTTATCATAATTTCGCTATTAGTAATCATACATATAACAGGGTGCTCGGCCAACCCTGGGAAAAATTTTAATGGGAGATTCTAGAGGCAAAAATAAGACGAAAATCAAGAATATCAATTTCATAACTGAGGCTTCTTTAAAAAGTTATTAACAAAATTAAATTAAAAAAATTTCAAATCTTTTTGAGAAAATTATTCTTGGTTACGGGGCTCGATCGCAATCATTTTTGGTCATTAGACGTAACCCCAAAATCCTACTCACTTTCGAGAAAAAAATTCGAGTGGGGACTGAAATTTTTAGACGAAATTAAAAATTTCAAATCGTACTAAAAAAATTATATTTAGTTACAGGGGTCAATTACAAGCATTTTTGGTGAATAGACATACCCCGAAATCCTACTCAGTTTCGAGGAAAAAATTCGAGTAGGGGCTGAAATTTTTCGGGGAAAAACAAATTTTTCAAATGGTTCTGAAAAAATTATTTTCGGTTACAGGGGTCAATTACAATAATTTTTGATGAAGAAACGTACCCCGAAATCCTACTCAGTTTCGAGAAAAAAATTCGAGTAGGAGCTGAAATTTTTCGGGGAAAAACAAATTGTTCAAATGGTTCTGAAAAAATTATTTTCGGTTACAGGGGTCAATTACAATAATTTTTTGTGAATAAACGTACCCCCGAAATCCTACCCACTTTCTAGAAAAAAATTCAATATGGGCGGAACTTTAAACGTTAGTAACTTTTTAACGAAGCCTCAATCAAGAAGTTGTTATTCTTGATTTTCGTCCTATTTTGGCCTCTAGAACCTCCCATTAAAATTTTTCCCACGGGTGGCCGATCACCCTGTATACAAATGTTTATGTAATTTATGGATATCAGATTCCCGCTATGTTCCTAATATCAATTTTTCATATTTTTCATTCGCACGTATTTTGTTCGCGCGAGTCACGTGAATGTTTAGCACGTTGCAATTGTAATCGATAAAGTGTAGTTTTAAATATAAACTGACGACATTTCCCTTCTCGTGAATAAATCTAGATCAAAGGAAATTATCGAATGTTAAAGAACGGTTGAAAGAAGCAAAACAGATAAATCACAAGAACATTGTTTTTCTTTTAGTCGCACGCTTTGTATCAACCAGATTGGTTCCTTATCGAAGACAAAAGTAAGGACTAACAGTCTACCGATAACGAGAAAAAATCGCACGATATCTGTCTCGTTCTTCGATCGACCATTTCCGTGAAACGAATATTTTTGTATAAAACTTCCTATCACGTAATTATCTATGTTGTCGTTTAAAAACATAAACGAATGAGACGAAATTTACTCAAGGAGACATGTAAAATTATTTATGTTACTTCCAAGAATTTGCTTATGCGTGACTCGGCATAGTTACCCTTCCACGAGTGCTTTGCTAAGCGATAGAAAATCAAAGTTGAATTACCTCAAAGAAAAGAGATCGTGCGATTTAAATTCGATTGAGGTCTGCTCGCAATGAAAAATAAATGTTTTAAAAAACTCCTTACCTAATTTTTAAATATTAAAATAGTGCACGGAAAAAGTATTCTCAAATTATTGTGACGGTATGTAAAGAATTCTAACTAATATGAATTTTATAATTTTCGGTGCTTTAGAAATCTCATCTAAAAAAAAGTTTGATCGAGAACAGAAATCTAACCCCAAATACTGAAGTTAAGATAACTATCTAGATAAAAAGACACTTCATCTTTACTTATTATTCAAAGCTTCGACGAACAACGAAAAAGAATTTTTTAATTATTTACTTCCTATCGAAAATATATTCCAATATTTAAGTTGTCTACTGTAGAATCTAAAGATAAATAATTAATTGGATTGTTGGGATGTGCATAATGTATAGATAGCCCTATTCGATTTTTCAATCTTTCATGCTATATTCTGAGAAGTGAATAAACCTTTGATTAAATCACTTGATATCAGAATTCGATAGAGTAATGAATAGTATAAATAAAAGTATTAAGGTAAATCTAGCTTAAGATTAATAATATCTACGGTATTTAGCTTCTGAAGTAGAGCTGAAAACTGTCAGCTGTTTGTTTACATCCCAAGGCGACGAGATATACACGCGATATGGTAGTTCATTGATTAAAATTATAATACTCTAACAGTCGAATATCTCACAAACTAATTGGTTTAGGACAAGTACACTATTTCAGAATTTATTATTTTATCTCTACTTTGCTACGAAAACTAGACAAACTACGTTTGGATCTACGAACGAATAAGAGAATATTCAAATATTTCACGAATAATACGCAAAGCGATTAGCATTTTAAACGTATTATAAATTTTGAATGTTTACGTCGAATGAAAAGAAATTTGTACCAATACCGAAGCATTATGGAAACTTTCGGGTCAGCTAGAAAGTATCTATCCGTTTGTACTTTCTTGCATTATTATTAATGAAAAGCACGAGCGACAAAGACTCGACCGTAAACGAAAATGACCGAACTGTCAACTTACCCACGAGGGATGTTCCCAGTACTCCGGCGGTGTTTTTGTTTCTTGCAAAAATAGACCGACGAAAATCGTTAAGCTCGCTAAAAGATTTACTGGAATAGAATCCTTCCGTCGGCTTTTAGACGTGCGTTTCCCCTCGATCGATATCCACTACGACATCGACGTTCAATGTTGTCACAAAATGCGAGCTTTTTCTTTATTGCATGTGCATAACCACTTCGATTGAAAGCGCCTTGTGTACTGAAATAGAGAAGCGTTAGGCGCTGCTGGGCGCTCACGTCACTGGAAACGTTTCCGAGTACACCTGCAACTAAAAAGAGGGCGCAAGTCATTTCTTCAACGGTTTATATCCAGTGTCTCGATCCGTTTATTAGATTAAAAATCGAACTACTAATGGTCACATCTATTTATACGTTATACCACGGTATAATTACATGTTAGCCTATAAAATTTTTCCCATATTTTGATTGCAACAATTAATACGATATGCTGACTGGAATATACGACTGTCACGCAATTTTGAATTTTCGTAAATAATTTTAGAGCATGAATATGCAAATAACGATATTCCTCATAGTTCATACTTTTAAGTATTCAATATCAGTACGTGATGCACCAATTGTGTATATGTATGCGAGAAACAAAATCAATATCACTTTTATAGATAACGGAATTATTGAAATATACCATTTTGAGCATAACAAGTAGCCATTACTTTTTAAAAATACCTCACCTTGAAATTTATAAACGTTCGAAAACATTTTTTAAACTTATTTAATCGATTGCTGATAAATTTTGCTTATCGTTTTCTGTAAATTAAATATACATATAAGAGAGAATAAATATGTATTACATATATAGATAATTGTTTTGAATGCTTTACAAAACTATTTTCTCAGCCTTTGCGATTTTTATGACAAATTGCAAATGGAAACTATTTATCTGTTGATGTAAACTTTTGGCGATCTTCTAATATCACAACTAATCCGTTATTTATTAGCATCGTTTTACAAAATCATAACAAATTTGCGTGATCGCAGTAGGATCTGGGAAAAACAACAGATGATACATAGCTGTAATTTAATCTTTATTTTTTGTTGAAATAAGACTTTTATACTTTTGTAGGTGTGAATAGTATACGTTTATACGTGAATGTGTGTATGTATGTCTGTGTACGTGTAGCTGTGTGCATATATAGACATGTATATAATTCAAAAACGGTTTTTCTAAAATCTAAAAAGGAGTCTCAACGTAAGTCTCCGTGCTCCATTTACAATGGAACAATTTGTCTGTAACTGTGTCAAAATCGTTCTTTTAGCTGGGCAATCGTGTGCAGTAAATTATTATTCGAGAATTATAAAAATAAGAACTAATGGCAAAGAAAATCTAACTTATTCAACGTTGTCGTTTCCTACTACTAATTTTCTTATTGGAAATCGCATTTATTTAGATATAAATTAAAAGTAAAACCGACTATTGACACATTGACTGCCGTAGTGGCCACTGGGTGATCAGCGCTTTAAATTAACAACGTGTCTTTAAAATACTTAGAATAAATAAATCTTAACATTTATAATTTGTTGATAACATCGCTGACATTAAGAATGCTGTAAACTGTCAAATACCTCTGTCATATTATAATTTGAAAAATGATCGGGGATAAACCTAGACTAGGAACATTTACGTGGCAGTCAATGCGTTAAACAATTTCACGTAATTTCGATATGAATTATCGTGTTCGATATTAGAGGAAACCGGAAAACAATTTGTGGTAGAATTTACGGTTCGCCATTCGGCAAACTGCTCACGAAAGTCCAGATAACGAGCGAATACGATTGCTCATTTTTGGACCACATAGCAAGCAACAATTGTAGTATGCTTTCTTAGTTGTAAATATGTAAAATCTAAAAGAACGGTTCTGTACAGATTTTCCTGTTTTCACTTTCAAACGTTCAAGCGATTGTTTCGAGCTTATCAACAGTGGGTAATAGGATATCTTATTAATAAAGAGATAATGAGAACATTCTAATTACTGAATAACAGCCAACGAGTGGAGTCTTCAAGAGAGAAATTTAATACTTAGGTAGCCTTGGTACTTTGTTAAATTATAAGCAATAGTTAAAATCTGAAAAACTTTTAGTTACTTAGAGGCACATCCTTCGGATGTTTCAACTAACGTACGTAAAACAAGAAAAAAAAAACCCAGATAAGGTTGAATACGTTAAATGTAAGTTTCGCTTGCTTAAATCGAAGTCGATCCGACTTAATTTCGTATATTTTGAAATGCATTAGTTTTATTTCTTTTTTTTTTTTTTATTTCCATAATAAAATATTGCATACGTTTCGTAAACGCCTATAAGATCACAAATCTCGCGGAATCATGCTACCATAACGCGAGCACACGCACCGTATAACAATTTCGTGTACCACGATGAAAGAGAACGAATTACTAAATGGCAAAATGTGCCAATAGCTTTATATATCGAAGTACGAGATTAAACTGTAATTCGTATATAGGTTCCTTTCCGAACAATGGAATTTTTTTTTTTTTTTATGTACGAACATTATTAGAAAATAGTATTTTTTAAGAAATTACAACTATTTCGACCCATTTTTTTTTATAAATTTTCAATTCGATCTATTTATTACTGTCTGTTCAACCTCTAAAATAACGTTACAAAAATTCATTTTCTTTATTCAACGTTACAAACGTCAGCGTTTTATTGACGAAACGCGCCGAGTGAGGAAGAATGTCAGTTGCAATGCTCTTGTATAACGTCATTATACTGTATTATATTGCTCCGTGTTACTTAAGATGAATATAATAACGGTGCGAAATAAATTTAAAACGCGTTGTTAGAATTAAGGTACACGCACGCATGCACACGCTATAGAAACGGAGATATTAATCTATTTGTAGCAGGAATAGTTCGTAAAATCCAGGTTCATCATCACAGAAAAGCTATATTATATATACACATACGCCTATTTACATACATGTGTCTTAAAACGTTGCATGCACAAACGCACATGAGCCAAAGATGAATGAAAACTATATTGTAATGGTTAACCGAGCATGCATGGAGCTCGTTATTCGATTAATCTCACTTTTTGTCTTTGTTTGACCCAAAAACTAATACAAAAATACGCGCGTGTTTAACAAAACACACGTGCGTATAATACATACACGATAATGAGAGAGATATCGATATTTGCTTCGGCTGTTTCGATATACAATTAATAATAAAATTAATAGAACGACGAAAATATTTGTTTAAAACTCCATTATTAAAGTTGTACCTCGAGGATATCCCACACGACACATATTTACAGTTATATCTTTGGCGTTATATTCAAATAACCTGTCAGATGTTACGCGTAATCGAATGAACAAATTTATGATGCAAGGAATGTTTTTAACAAAAACAAAAGAAGTGTATCGGAGAACAGATATAAAACAACACTGATCTACACTGTATGAAAAAGAACTTCGGCTGAACATTCGTCGAATTGTCATTTTAATCGTTCACAATTAACCTGAGACTCGAACCGTTTTCGATTGCCAACGATTCGAAGATTCAAACGAAACTCGTTCGCCAAATATTTATAGGCGACTTGAACTGTCTTGCGTTTGAAAATGTCAAGATATCAACCAATATATATATTTTTTTTTTTTTCTTCGTATTTTCGTATAACGTTGACAGTATGATCGTTGATTTTGCACAGTGCGATATGATTATGATGTTGCATGACTCTTTTATAGGTCAGTTGCAATGCGATTTCCTATCACAATTGACATCGTTGTTATCAACTGACTTTATTCGTTTTGGTAATCATTTCTATTTAAATTGTATGATCTCTAAATTTTAAGGCTGACGATTAAAGCTAAGATATTGCGTTTTTGTTGGTCAGTCATCTCGCGCGTCGAACACTTTCATTATCTCGCACATAATTATACTTTCCTACTCTACGAAGGAACCAGGAACGTTTAATTAAATGTAAAACACGTAATTGTTTCGGATACTCGAAATTAATTGTACAGCTGTGAATCGCAATTCCTCTGTTCTGGAAATATTAATTCCATAAATTCCGTTGGATAATACATATCGGGCGTATCGATGACATTTCTTTTTTTTTTTTTTTTCTTTTTTTTTTTTCTTGTCTCCCTGAAACGATCTCGACAAGGCCTGGCTAATTTAAACGTTGTTCACGCCCGAGAAATCTTTATCGATCTCTTCTTTCTTCGATCCGTTCACGCATCTTCGGTACAGGCTAATTAAAGGCATCGCCAGCAGCAACACTCCGCTCAGCGCAATAAACAAACCGGCCAGGTAAAACGACAGATCGTACGTCCCCGTGATATCGTACAGCCATCCTGGAACAATGAAAATACGGTACACGCTTTAAGGTGTTGATTGTCATCGACAGAATTTCAACGATCTCGCGACATTGAAACTCGGCGATCATAATTACGCGATGGTTCATCTGGGCCATGGAACTTCAAAGCCATTCGTAATCGTATAATTCATAGAGGGTCCCGAGTTACCCGTGGGCAGCGCACTGATAATTGATCTTTCTACCTCCGACCTTTGACGTATACTGATGCCATTAAGCGGCTGTATTACGTATCATAAGTCGGACACGGATGTGCGCGTACAGCCATTTTCGACTTATGACACGTAACAGCGTAAAATACAATTTTCCACGTAATCGAATTAAGTAGAAACTATACACACGTAGTCGCCGAAACCGCCATGCGAAGTCTTTTAAATCACGATGCAATTTCGCGGATTAGTGTAGCTCTTACGAAGAACCAGGAATGAACTCCGACGCCAATGTTGTCGGATCTCTTTCCTTCGTTTAACCCTTTTAATGTTATCGACGCTTATAGGAAGCACGGCAATATTGCTCGTGATATATTATCAGCGCTTATAGGCGCCTGGCAGATTCGTTCTATGTATGCTATCGGCGTATTTCATTTTCGTTTCGTAATAGTTTCTATTAAATAAAAGCAGGGCCATATTCATCGTAACGATGAGACAAGAGGTTCTACGGGTTTTGTATAAAGCGAGGGAGACGTGCACTGCCATTAACCTCTTCACGCCCTTGGCCACATATGTGGACCTTTAGTTATTTTTTATAATTATAGTTACTGTCAATAATAAATAGACCCCAAAAAAAGAGAGGAAAAAAAATAAAAATCGTCCCTGAAGAGGTTAAAAAGTTCACCACACCCTTCCATCATAAAAATAAACGTTTTATCGAAAATGTTATCCCCGCGCGATAATTCGGTATCGCGTAACTATAATTTAAAATGAGGATTATAATTGTACTTGGAATTAGACAATTAACAATAATTTGTTATTTCTGTTCAATTAGTGGATCTTCAATCGTATCAATCTCGATAAGTCTCCCGGAACGATTATCATCGATCAGATTAAAATTTTTCACCTGTTTATTATTATACAAAATTTTTCAAGAAAATGTTATTAAAAAATTAAGAAACAGTATATACAGGGTGTTCGGCCAGCCCTGGGAAAAATTTTAATGGGGCATTCTCGAGGCCAAAATAAGACGAAAATCAAGAATATTAATTTGTTGATGGAGGCTTCGTTAAAAAGTTATTAACGTTCAAAGTTCCGCCTGTACTGAATTTTTTTCTAGAAAGTAGGTAGGATTTCGGGGCTATGTCTAATGACAAAAAATGATTGTAATTGTGCCCCGCGACCGGAAATAATTTTTCCAGAACGATTTCAAATTGTTTTTTTTTTCGTTGAAAAAAGGCACCTAATTAAATTTTCGGTAAGGAATTTTTTTCTCGAAAGTGCGTAGGATTTCGTGGGTATGTCTATTCATAAAAAATGCTTGTAATTGACCCCTGTAACTAAATATAATTTTTTTAGTACGATTTGAAATTCTTAATTTAGTCCAAAAATTTCAGTAGCTACTCGAATTTTTTCTCGAAAGTGGGTAGGATTTCAGGGGTATGTGTATTCATAAAAAATGCTTGTAATTGACCCCTGTAACTAAATATAATTTTTTTAGTACGATTTGAAATTCTTAATTTCGTCTAAAAATTTCAGTAGCTACTCGAATTTTTTCTCGAAAGTGGGTAGGATTTCAGGGGTATGTCTATTCATAAAAAATGCTTGTAATTGACCCCTGTAACTAAATATAATTTTTTTAGTACGATTTGAAATTCTTAATTTTGTCTAAAAATTTCAGTAGTTACTCGAATTTTTTTCTCGAAAATGCGCAAGATTTCGGAGGTATGTCTATTCACCAAAAATGATTGTAATTGTGCCCCGCAACCGAAAATAATTTTTCCAGAATGATTTGAAATTTTTTAATTTAATTTTTTAATTTAATTTTTTAATAACTTTTTAACGAAGCCTCAGTCAAGAAATTGATGTTCTTGATTTTCGTCTTATTTTGGAATCTCCCATTAAAATTCTTTCCCAGTGTATAAAAATTTTAATTCAATTAATCGTTACATATGGACCAAGAAAATGAATTTTTGCCAATGTACTGATGTATGTCTAAAACAGTAGAAGTGCGTTGTCTAGTATGTGCATTTGCCATCTGCAAAGGATGACTTACAAAGTTTCTTTAAAATACAACAAATGAACCGTAACACTTATAAAATTTTGAATAACGTTACTGCCATTGGAGGTGCCATGAAATATTAAATACATCATTGTTGAACACATATCTGTGCATGGAAAACTGGCGAGGCAACCAAACGTGTTATTAGTACTTAAAAAAAAAAAATAGGAAGAGGTACTGTTGTACAATGATCTGGAGTAGAAAACCATCTTAATAAACGAGCTTTGTTAATGCTCCAGGGGTGTGCGTGTAGCTCGAAATTCGAGTGTAGGCTCGATACGTCTAGGGCCGAATTGAGTTTACACTTAGAAAATATAAAGAAACGCCCAAACGATGAAGTAAAAATCAGACGTATGTGTTCAGAGTCGACGTATAAATTCAGATGCTGTTGCCTCCCTCTCGTTGATCGAAGTACAAATCCGTTGCTTTCTTGACGATTCTCGAGTTTCGGGTTACACGGGCACCCTTAGTAATTTCCAGCCCATTATAAATGTCAGCGAGTTCGTTCCCCTCTTACCAGCTAACGGAGGGCCCATGAGATTAGCGACACCCTGAACCAAAAGCAGCAGGCCATAAGCGTTCGTGAACCGGTCCAAAGTGATCAATTCGACGAGGATAATGCTGGTGAGACTGTAGTTCGCCCCAATGAATAGTCCGAAAGCACCAGATATTGCGCACAAAGTGTAGTACCTGCTAACCACCATAGGTATTAAAGCCGTGACCGCACCGCAGAGAGCCATGCATACTGCATATACGATGGATGCGTTTACCCATGCTCTGTCACCTGCCCAGCCAAGGAGAATCTGAAAACAAACAGTTCATTTTCTTTTAATATTTAGACACTCCTCTTGGGTCTTCGAACTCTCGTGCTACCTTTCCCCAAACAGAGTGAATGTAAATTCTTTGAGTTCAATTTTTTTTTTTGAAATTAATAAAACCATGCAATGATACAGCTGTACGTAATTTTGGTTAATATTATATTAGGTTCATGCGTATGAAATGTCGAACTTTGTGTATTTTTATGTAAGAAAAGCGTCCCCGTTATTGACCAAACTCTCCATTAGTGACCTCTAAAATATTATATTTTTTTAAAAATGTTATGTAAAGATTGTTATTTCTTTTGCTAGTACATGTATTTCCAAATAAATTAACATACAAGTTGAGATTTGGTCATTTGCATAATAGTCGATGGATTCTGTAAGCTAAAATTAGATTATCAGTTTTCTACTTCACCTGTATACAGGGTGTTCACGCAATTACTATCCACCGATTTTTTCGAAAGATATTCTAATTAGAAAAAAAATGTAAGAGAACAAAGTTTTAGAATTTCTTACGACCAATAGGACAGTGTATGTCAATTTGCATATTTACATTATTTTCCTGAGAAATGACCTTCAATTTTTTAAATGAAGTTGCATATATTTTTTACGTCATCTGAAAGTGTTGGTCAAGGTGGATACATTCGTGTATTGTTTGATGACTTTCCAAGTCGTGGAAATACAAAAATGAAAGAAAGATTTTGCATACTTCGTAATATTGTATTGTCGAAAATAATTTAAATGATAAGCTCGACAATAAATAGATAGGCACGGACCTTAAAAATGGCCGCCAAGATCTCCGGATCTGACACATTTGGATTCTTTTTTTATGGACAACTCTAAAATATAATAAGTTGTGAAATGTGTGTTCGTGCACAACGAACTTATTGAACATCTTTTAAAATTGTATTAATAAAGTGTTTTTACGGAGACACAATGTTATGAAATATTCAACATTTTTCTTTTATTTACGATCTTCTATGACCTCGAAGGTCATTATACATATAATATATAGAGTGTTCGGCAAAATAAGACGAAAATCAAGAATACCAATTTGTTGATGGAGGCTTTGTTAAAAAATTATTAACGTTTAAAGTTCCGTCCGTACTGAATTTTTTTTCTCGAAAATGCGCAAGATTTCAGGGGTATGCCTATTCACCAAAAATGATTGTAATTGACCCCCGCGACCGAAAATAATTTTTTCAGAACGATCTGAAATTTTTTCTTTCGATCGAAAATTTGCACACCTTCTCGAATTTTTGTCTCGAAAGTGGGTAGGATTTCGGGGGTATGTCTATTCACCAAAAATGATTGTAATTGACCCCCGCGACCGAAAATAATTTTTCCAAAGCGTTTTGAAAAATTTTTTTTTCGACGAAAAATTTCAGCACCTACTCGAATTTTTGTCTCGAAAGTGGGTAGGATTTCGGGGGTATGTCAATTCACCAAAAATGATTGTAATTGACTCCCGCAACCGAAGATAATTTTTTCAGAACGATTTGAAATTTTTGAATTTAATTGTTAATAACTTTTTAACGAAGCCTCGAGATTTTCGTCTTATTTTGACCTCTAGAATCCCTCATTAAAATTTTTCCGATGGGTGGCCTAACACCCAGTGTAGTACAGTAATGAATTCGTCTTGACAAGCACTTTCAAATGACATAAAAAATATATGGTATTCCATTTAAAAATTTCTCAAAAAAATAATATAACTATGTAAAATTGACATACGCTGTCCTATTGGTCATAAGAAATTCTAAAACTTTGTTCTCTTCCATTCTTTTTCTAATTAGAATAGCTTTCGAAAAGATCGGTGGATAGTAATAACGTGAACACCCAGTATAGACAATCAGAGCATAAACACATTTAACAAGAATTGCAAGTAAATTGATGAAAAAAATGACAGAAGAATGTGAGTTATTCTTTCATAATGTTTCAGGGTGAAGTGAAAAATATGTAATAATTATTATAAATTGAGCAACGTTTTACTTTTTTATCGGCAAGATTTCACAAGGTCGAATGTGTCTGTTCCGTGGAATCGATAGTTGGGGGATAAATTTTCCGAGAATTATTTCCATATTACCCTCACTGCCACATCCCTCGGATAACCCTTGCGTGACGCAAACTCAGGGTCAAAGGGAGTTTACAATGAAATGAGATCAAGGAGGGTAAGAGGAACTGACGCGTCGCGTCATTGGGCGTCTTAAGACGAGTCTGACGTAATACGAACATTTAAGGAAACTCCCGATTTAACGAAGCAATCGATCTTACATGTGTCATCGGTCTGACATTATTGATGACAAGAATATCCCGAATTTGGCGCGCGTAGGCGTTAAAGTCTCGAAGTTCCTAAATGTTTAGTCGCTCGTATTAAAAATTAGTTAACTCGATCTCAGCTAAATTCTTTTCGCCATTGTTCACCATGTAACAAAATGTATCAAGGAACAAGTTGTTCGTTCAAAGGAAATGAACATTATAATTCGTTCGAATTGCTTAATGCTGACACACGGTTGGCCCACTACTTCAGAATTTGTCGAAATCAATTTTATGAATATTTTATTAAAATGTTAACAAAATACCGGTTAATGCAAACTAGTGCATATATCTCCAGTGAAACTTTGGTGGAGGAATTGCTGGATCGGTGACATATCTTTTTGCCAGAATTATAAAACCAAAACCGCAGTCTAAAGAAGCCCATGATCGTTGAAATCGAAAGAACAACATCTGAGTTATTTTGCTGCGTTTTCTTTGTACTTTAGAAAAAGAAGCATAAAGTTGTCTCTTTTTGTTTTCGAATTGTTAATTGCTTTTATCCGTGGGCCACCTCGTAGTAATAACACTACACTTTCCAAAATTAATGGTGTCGTTCAACAAAACATAGACACTAAAAATGAAATTTAAACGACCCACGCTTTTAGCAATATGTACTTGGTTTTTAACGAAGAGAAGTAATTTCTTCTTGAGATGTGTTCTCGTGCAACGAACGGACGGAAATATTCGCGATTAGATCGAACGGTTCACCATGTAGAACGTACAATTTTAGATGAAAGATACCTATCGATTACTGCATAATGCTGCCAGCAGATTCGACTTAAATACGGATAATCGATAGACTTGGGAAATATCAGAGCAGCCACGGCATTAAAATTTTTAGAAATTTTATTTACACCGGCGAGCGTCCCTTTTGAAAATGATGCCTCCGTGAACCAGCATGTGGAAATAACCATTCTTTGGTGGCCGATAAATACCAGCGAGGCGAACTAATATTGGAACACATAAAGGAACAAAGTAATGCTACGAAGGAGAGAACTCGTTGAACAATGAACATCGATATTTGGAATTATCGACATGCCGGCGATGTGACAACCCAACATTAAACAACACGGAGCATAATACGCGTTCCTATCGCCAGATTTTAAGGTTAACGTCCCCTGCAGTTATTACAATTTCACGATTACAGTTACCATTTAAATAATTTATTTAAAAAGAGCAATTATTCTACGTTATTATCTTAAATGATTCAATGTAAACTTATCGATGAACTACCTAACACAGATTTCAATGACTGTTTAACGTTAGGTGTACCAAATGAATAATCCAATTTTTTTCAGCCACATTCGAAGTTTATTTTAAAAGAAAGTAAACCGAATTGTTCAAGCAAGGTATTCGTCGTTAATTTTTATAACTATAAGCCAGCTGATGAATTCCATCTCGAAAAAATTTTACGTTTCTGGGCCCGATAAAGTCGTCAAAAGTCAAACTCCACCACAAAACATCCATCTTTCTATGCGAACTCCATGCAACAAAACAAGTCCACTTTAACCAACCGAAATAAAAACTTTGCAATTTTCTGCGTCTCCACGAGGTGCCATCTTAGCAACACAGAAGCTATGGACAAACGACCCCGTCATACAAGAATGCCAAGAAGCTTACTTCAGGTCTAACTAAATGAACAACTTTATAACAATAATATGGATCCCCTCTCACATTGGTATAATGGGAAACGAAAAAGCGGACCAAGCAGCCAAAGAAACAGCTAACTCAATAGCCCCTGACCACTACGACCCCAGTCTATCCTTGTAAACCACGCTCTCCATCCTAAAGGATAAAATAAAAGACAGCTGGAACGAAGAATGGAATTCTACAGTCAAAGTAATTTCTTCCAAAAATTCATCCCCTGGTCCCTATCCAGGTTGGATCAAGTGAAAATTTCTCGAATCATAATAGGACATACTAAACTGACCCCACCAATACTTCCTCGGCAAAGAAGACCCCCCAACATGCGAACTGTGCAACGATCACCTTACAGCAGATCACGTCATCAGCCACTGCAGGAAATACGCCGCAAACACACTGCGATTCAATATTAAACCATCCCTAAAGAACAACCTGAAGGGTGACAAATCTATCCAAAACTTGCTCAAGTACCTCAAAGAGTCCAAACTGTATAACAAGCTGTAAACTTTTTCTGAGTTGCTAATAACCCATGGGCGGTTGATGCGACTATAAATAAATAAATAAATACATACATACATACATACAAACACACACACACACACACACAGCAGTTGTTCCAAATCATTGTTGTCGCACTTCCGAGGGCCTCCAAGGGCGTTGATCGTCGATTAAACTCAAATCACCGCTTTTAAACCGCTTAAACCAAAACGCTTACACATCATACGATACAACACCTTCACCGAGAAAGGAACAAATCGATTCGCATGCTCTTGCAGCATTTTTCCCTTGTTGGAATTCGTAAGAAATGCAGTGTCGGATATGCACCTTATCCGTTGCCATTTTAGACTCTACCGAATCGTATACTTTCGAAGGTTGGCGTTGGGCCTTTCGCTAAACTATCTTTTGTCTTAACTAGCTATATGTCGACACTAAATTTGATTTTATAACTGCTTAAGATAATTTGGATTATTCACTTGTACACCTAATATTTTACGTTTCGACTCACCTTTAATTAAAAGAGTTCTGTAGCGTTCCCAGGCATTCGTATTAGTTGTTTCTTCGAAAAGTATTGTCAAAGAACTTTGGATTTCAACATTGTCTTTGCTATGTACTTCTAGCAGTAGTTTAACTAAGAATACTTGTAATTTCTCTGTGCAAGACAATAATGGTGAGGTACAGGGCATTGGAATCGAATGATTTATTTTAGTTCGATGGCTATCGTAATTTCAAAGTATCGAAAAGATAAATTTGATATTTTTGGGCATAATCTGTGCAGCGAAAATTAATATTTAATATTTCTATATGCAAGTTCGCACGCCCCTTGATATTTATCTACGATCCCTTTAGGCTTAGACTACATGTTAAGAACGTATTGGTCTAAACGTTTATCATAGAATAAACTGTGCTCGTTTATGCTATAATTGATCATATTGTTTTATTTTCTTGGCGAACAATTCTTACTATGCGGGGTAACTCGGAAGTTTTGACTCAGCATTCCTCTATATGTAATTCGAATTTTTCTACTTTAAGGGGGGATTCTCACGTAACAGCGTTAAAATTAATGTCTACTTTTTAATTTTTTTCGTAAAAGTTCTATTGTACCAGACGTTGAAGAATAACCCTTAAACTATGCGAAAATATTATTTTTAGTCCATTTTTATTATCTTCTATTAAATAATCCTATCCGATGTCGTAAGAGAAAATTTTTTCTTCAAAATGAAATAGTTGTTTAAATTTTCCATACCTTTTGTTTAAAATAGGTTCAAAATATTTTCATACAGTTTAAGGGTCGTTCTTCGTGTTCCTAATAGTCTAGTAATAGCAGAGCATTAAATTCTTCACGAAAAAAAATTAAAAAGTAAACTTTGTTTTTAACGCTGTTAGTCGAGAATCCCTCTCTGTACAAGTCCAAGATTTCTTTCGTTTCTTGAGATTCGAATTACCAAGGATCGACTGTAATTTGTATTCGCTCGAAAGTTTCCACGGGTCAAGGGGCGAAAGTGTGCAAAGGGGCTTAAAAGTAGAAAGTTCGAAAAGCGAAACGATGTTACGTGAAACTGATTCTTACCTCGCCGCCCATGTTGGTGATCCCGATCACCGATATCAGGATCGAAGCGTCTGTCTCGCTGAACCCCATCTCGATAGCGTTATCCGTGAGGTAGACGTAAGGCACGTCGTACCACGTGTGCAGGAGAAAATTACTGATAGCGAATAGTAAGAAACGCGAGTCGGCGAAGTGAGAGAAGTCGAGCATATCGACGACGAGGTCCCAGAACTCCCAAAGGCCGGCGTACCAAACGAGCTTCGTCTTTGCAATGGTGGTCATCGAGTTTCTATAAATATCGGGACAACTGGAGGCCCTTAGACGGTATCGGTGTATATTTAACATGGCACCTCTGTAGGTAAGGCTGTGCCTATGCATTCTGATGTCCTTCAGATAAGCAGTAGGCATTCTCCTCGTGTGCTCGAGGGTGCTGGACCTTCTTAAAGTGGTATCGAAATTGATCTTCTTCAACCACAAACGCCACGCGGCGTCCGACTGCTGCTGAAGAGTTTGATCGTCGTTCGGCGAGACCTTGTCCTTGTTCTCCTCGTCCTTCAGCTCCGACAGCGAACTCGGCGTAGGCACGAATCTCGCCAACGGCGTGTTAAGCTGATCGGCGAGCGCCCCGGAATCGCTCAAGCTTCTCGACGATATAAGAAGGCTGGGATAATTTTGCAGCAAGACGTTGTAAACATTTTTACGGGTGCTCAGCATTTCCAACACCTCCAATGGCACTTTCTCGCCGTTTTTAACAAAAGTCGGCAGGCTGACAAGACTGGAGAATAACTTTTCCCCTTCCTCCTCCTCCTGTAGACGAAGATTCTCCATGATCGCGAGGGTGTTGAGCGAATTGTTCGCGGATATCGTGTCGACGCTGGAACTTTGTACCCTGGTTCTCTTCTTCTCGCGGTTCTTCCGTCTCTCCTCGGTTTTCGCTTTAGCCCGCGTGGTGGTCCATTCCAGATCTCTCATCAGACATCCGCATACGGCTAAATTCAAGAACAGACCGGCCAGAATCAAGGTCGTCCCCCGCCAGCCGTACTCGGCGAGGAGATATTGCGTGACAGGTGCAAAAATAAACGTCCCGATGCCGCTTCCGCACACGGACAGCCCTGTCGCGAAGGATCTCTTCTTGTCGAAGTAGTAAGCGACGATGACGACGGCCGCTACGAAGCAGAGGGACAAACCAAAGCCAGAGAGAATGCCGAATGTGAATACCAAAACCTCCATCGAGTTTGCGTATGAGCTTATCACGAATCCCGTGGTGGCTAGGAGGCTCCCTGCTATAGAGACTCGTCGACAACCGTACCTGTCCGTCAGAAAGCTAGCCACCGGGCCCGACAGCAACGGCATCGCCATGAACAGGCTACCTATCCAAGCGGTCTTGGACTTCCCTTCGCCGAAGTAGTTTAAAAATTCGACGTAAATCACGCCGAAAGAAAACGTGATACCGTCCGCTATGAGGTTAACCATGAAAGAGGCTGCCACCACCACCCATCCCCAACCACCATCGGGCGGCGTTGGTTCGCATAGTTGCCCGAAGCTGGTATTATCCTCGGAACTGCTGCTGCTTCTGCTGCTACTTCTGCTGCTGCTGGTCAACGTGGTGATCGGTGGGCTCGTTTTCGATCGTTCGTCGCGTGAGTATTGCTTCTTCGAATCTTTGTTAAATTGTACATGATACTGTTGTTTGTCCTCTCTCGGGGATTTTCCATTAACGAACTTCTCGGTGCTGCTCGTGGACAGCGAGCGATTCTTCGGCGACAAGATGCTCGCGGGGGAACCAAAGATCAAGTTCCTCTCCGCGGAATGGCTTTTGCCCATCTTCAGGACAGGGATGTCCTCCTTGTACAGGCTGTCCAACCTTTTCACCGAGTTTTGCGCGACTTCCTTCAACTCTTGCCTCGCATCTTGTCGTATCCTCGAACCAGGCACATCGTAGCTGCTGTACGGTTTCTCCAAACAGTTCTGCTTCTCTTCGTCGTCCGACCTCTCGCTGGCCGCGTCATTCTCGTAACTCTCGTCGCACAACGCGTTCGATTGCTCCTCCGCCAGGATGCCGATCTGATTCGATTTCTTTCTGAGCCACGAGGCGTCCTTCGCGAAATTTAATTCCACCGAGCCTGTATCGATGCCCTTCCATGGCTCCGTTCTACGCGGCGTCTCCTGCGGAGTCCTGTGCCCGTACGAACGCTTCCTCTCGATCAAACACTCCTCGTCGCCTTTACCCGAGACGATCTCGCCGTTCTTCAAATCGCCATGCAGCTCGGCGACGTTATCGTCCCCTCTGATACTTTCCGTTTTTATCGTCTCGTTCAATTGGGTCAGCTTCTCCTCACCGTTGAACTTGGCCCACTCGGCCATGATGATTGTACCGATGACAACGAGGAGCCTGCTGTTTAGGCACGATGGTCTGAAAAGCAACGCGACGGCATTTAAACCTCGACGGATTTCGTTTTCTCTTAATTTGATTTAAGAATACGTGACTTTCGTTTACTCTGACAAGAACGAGATTCGTTATTCCTTCTTCCCCTCTTTGCTCTGTTTCTCTCTTCTGTATTTCCGCGGCACTCGGGACACGCACGCACCGCTACAAAAAAGTTATAACGCACGAATGACCACGACGTATGAACCGATCCGGAACCGGTCTAGTTTCGTCCTTGACTTGAACAACGGTAAGCACGGCCACTCGTACAGCTGTCTGGTGAACTGACGGCGTAACGGCAACAGCGATGCTGACAACGTGGACGATTTAAAGTTCTTTGAAGGCTGATAAATAGCACCCGGACCGCCACCATTGCAAACGTGGCCCAGGATGCACGAAGTCTTCTTTATTCTCGGGCCCTGGTCAATCGGGACCGCCTCCACCTCTGCAAAACGATCGTCAACCCAGGCACCCATACGGCGAATGGTACTGCTTCGGCGCTTGCGGTGTATTCTAAGATCAAAATAATGCATTATTATTATCGACAATCTGTTCAGAGAATATACGAAAATTTCGGAACTGGAGCAATGACGAAAAAACAAATATGCTGGATAATTGGACTATACCTAAATATCACGTAATAAAAGTGAGGAATGTAATCAAAGACGAGGTATACGAGTAGACCTTACGTCCAATGTATTTTCTCGGCCATTTTTCAGTACCATTTTCGTGTCACTGGCAACAGTGAGATAGAAAATTAAATTACAGAAACATTTCTGGCCACAGATTATATTTTCGGTAAAGAATTTTTTCCCCGAAAGTGCATAGGATTTGAGGGGTATGTGTATTCACTAAAAACGATTGTAATTGACCCCAGCAACCACAAATAATTTTTTTAGAACGATTTGAAATTTTTTGATTTCGCAATGCGACAGATAAATCTAAAATTTCGAATTACGTAAGGAAAACCATGAGAAAAAAATATTTTTGAGCGAATGATATCTAAATCTGTGTCTCTAAAAATGTTGTTCTGATTTCAAATCCTGAATAATACTTTTGATACATTTTGGATAAGTACATTTTTTATCGTTTCTATAATCTTATCTGCAGATAATACTAGTTGCATTCATTTTACGTGCTTGACTAACGGACTGCTTTATGTTAACAGGGGAAACATACTTTCAGTTTAGATAACTAACGATACCGCGACACTCGAAAAACGATAAAGTCAAATACTTTGCTATTTACAACATCTTATGATACTCGAGTACCTCATAAAATTTATCATATTTTTTTTTATTTTCTCGAAAACCATAGATATTCTACATTATATTACTTCAGAGAAACTTCAAGGTCTAATATGAAAAATGTATGTTGATATTATTGACGCCAGTAACATACTTTAAAAATATCAGTTTTCTACCAAACTCATTTGGACCTGGAATTTAGGCAAAGTTTTTGTACAAAGTATAAACGACGATATAAAATATACAAGGCGTTCGACCACCTCTGGGAACAACTTGAATGGGAGATTCTAGAGTCAAAAATAAGACGAAAATCAAGAATACCAATTTGTTGATGGAGGCTTCGTTAAAAAGTTATTAACAATTACATTCAAAAATTTCAAATCATTCTGATAAAATTATTTTCGACTGCGGGGGTCAATTACAATCATTTTTGGTGAATAGACATACCCCCGAAATCCTACCCACTTTCTAGAAAAAAATTCAGGAAGGTGTGAAATTTTTCGACGGAAAAAGAAATTTCAAATTGTTCTAAAAAAATTATATTCGGTCGCGGGGATCAATTACAATTATTTTTGGTCATTACACATACCCCCGAAATTTTATCCGCTTTAGAGAAAAAAAATTCGAGAAGGTGTGAAATTTTTCAACGGAAAAAGAAATTTCAAATTGTTCTAAAAAAATTATATTCGGTCGCGGGGGTCGATTACAATCATTTTTGGTCATTACACATACCCCCGAAATTTTATCCGCTTTAGAGAAAAAAAATTCAAGAACGTGTGAAATTTTACGACGAAAAGAAATTTCAAATTTTTTTGTAAAAATTATTTTCGATTGCGGGGGTGAATTACAATCATTTTTGGTGGATAGACATACCCCCGAAATCCTACGCATTTTCGAGAAAAAAATTCCTTACCGAAAACATAATTTCAGGCCAGAAACGGTCTCTCAAAAATTTCATGCGTATCTTTAAAACGTCATAACTTCTGAACGGTTTGGACGATTTTGATGTTTCGCAATGCAAACAACGCGTATTTTGTCGAAGAATATATAGAAATTCAAAAAATATTCGAAAACTTGTTCCTTAACCCCGTAAAGTGAGAAAAACCCCATAAAAATTGTCCAATTTTTAAAACAGCCATAACTCCTACAATATTGAATATATTTCAATGAAATTTTTTTCTGAAGTAGAGCTCATGGATACCTACGAAAAAGTATTTGCCAAATTTTCTGTAGTACATCGAACAAAATCATTAAAAATCAAAAACGAATTTTTAAGAAAAATCGAAGGGTGCCCAAAGTTTTTGATGAATAAAAGAAATTTCAAATTGTTCTAAAAAAATTATATTCGGTCGCGGGGGTCAATTACAATCATTTTCGATCAATAGACATACCCCCGAAATCCTACCCATTATCGAGAAAAAAATTCAGTACGGACGGAACTTTAAACTTTAATAACTTTTTAACGAAACCTCCATCAACAAATTGGTATTCTTGATTTTCGTCTTATTTCGGCCTCTAGAATCTCCCATTAAAATTTCTCCCAAGGTTGGCCGAACAGCCTGTATACTCTATAAATCTAGATATCAATTTATACACAGTTACGAAGATCAACATCCGAAACGTTGTTAACGGCGAACTTAACGAGTTACGCAACGTTCTTTTTTATCCCTTCATTTAATCACTAATGGAATTAAGGTAATAGCAAACTTGCCCCGCGATGTTTGTGCTTTTTACGTGGCAAAGACTAAAGTGCTTCACGAGGTGAATTTAGCCCGTGAGCAATTTACGAGCGCGGTATACCAGAATTGTGTACAATTTTCTCGGGCAAACGCGGCTATTTTACTGCTTCCTTATTTTGCAATTGGCAAGTTCGTGTTATTCTACAATTGGCGGTCATTAATTTTCAGCGTGCTCTTCCACGACATTCCGAACGTGAATACATCAGACACTTGTGATTTAAGAGTTAATTTTGCAGATCGAACAAAATGTTTTGACGATACATTGGGGTCGCCGCGGAGCCCGCAATTATTCTGTCGAATTAAGAAGTGCATGACCTTGCAAGGCTTTCCCACCTCGTCATCGCGGGAACTGGTTGTTAAGAGTTGCTCGACAACTCCCGAAGCATTCGAGTAACTTGAGATATTCGGTTTGAAGAAAAAACATTTAATTTATTTAACCAAGCTAAGTACACAATCAAAGGAGCAACAGTTCGAGCAGCTTGATCATTTGAGTAGGTTAAACAAATTTAAGTAGGTCGAAACGTTCGAGTGGCTCGGTTCATTTCGGTTCGGTAAAACCTCTTGTTCGCGATTTCGTGAAAATGAATATAAGCAATCAAGACCGTATTAGCCGCAATAATTTTCGACACAATTCGCTTGTATTGTAAAGCATTCGTTTAAATGTGCAACGAATAATTTCGTTCAAATTTTATTTATTGGACACGATAGAAGAAACGTTGATCTAAGGTTTATTTAAAATATTTAAAAAAAATTTTACATCAACGAATGTACACCGTGGAATGCACGTAATCGTTGTAATTTTATTTTTATTAATTATTATTCGATTATTTGTTTAAATATATTTAAAAAAAAATATAAATTTATTTATTTTTATATATATAAAAAAATCATTATCTATGGACAAGTTTTGCTTGGAATATAATGAGATCTTAAAACCAGAATGTAAAATTTAATAAAGTTTCATTGAAATTCATTCAGTCCCTTAGATGCCATTATGTCGATAGTCATCCACGTATACACAGATAAAAATAATATAAATTTTCCAGTAAAATAATCGTTTCGATCAAAAAAAAACTGTTCCGCCTTGTATGTAAGAAAGCAAAAGGGAGAAATAAATGAATCAGATACTACATTTAAATCAACCGTATTGGATTTTTAAATTAATATTCCAGTTTTGCTATCTTCCTTCAATTTTTAAGTTTCTAATCTTGAATGTCAACAAAGAGAAAACGTGCACTCATAGCAAAAGAAAAATCAAGACTTAATAAGTTAAGACCTGTCTTAATAAGATAAGACGGTCGAAATTAGAATTTTTTAATTTTAGAAGATTTTCTATAATCGATATAATTGGTTATCTGTACTTTTTAATCTCGCAATGGGCGCGTATCGTAAAGGTCGTTCTGTACATTTTAAGACTATGAACAAAGATACAGCTCGAAGATTGTAACTTATACGAGGTGTACACGTTTTTTCACTTTATAGGCAATAAAGATAGCTGATTCTATCGTGACAATAGATAAGTAAGAAAGGTTAACATTACTGTCTAAGAATGTTGGTGTTAGTGATAATTTGGTCGTTACTTGGCATTTATCGCTAAATTATTATTTATTACACGATTACTATTTCGAACAAGTCTGAATTACTAATTAAATTAAGCAAATTTCAATTTTAGAAAAATTTAAATTCAATTCGGATGCTCTTTAAAAAGTCCACGATTGAATATCGGAACTTGAATGAATTTGCAAAACACGGATTCGTTTAGTGTGTAAATACTTGCAATCGATATAACGCACTCATCTGTCGGAGTTAATCGCAATTTATACTGCGAAAGTGTTTAAAGAATACTGAAACTGTTACTCACAGGCAAGTAAATCGAGCAAATAATGCGATAACACGAAGGCTTACATCATAAATAACATTTCAGGATTTTATAGAATGTGGCATATACGTGACAATTACAATGTGCAACGTAATGTTATTATTGATCAAATTTTAAAATTATTATATCAATCAATTTAGTCTTCCATAAGTAGAATACAAAATAATCTTTCTCTAATTCTCTTCGAAATAACGGATTTAATATCTTTAGGACCAAATAAAAAATAATCCTACCGAATCGATAATTTCGGAGATAAATTTATTTTAAATAAAAGTCACGAACTTCTGATGGAAGTTTGTCACACATCCCGTAGCGTGCGCCTGGGAGTATGCGCAGAGGAGTGTGCGCGTGTGAGAACGCGCGCATGAGTGTTGCGTCGCTTTCCACCGAGATAGTTGTGTGGTCGTCGTGCGTTGTTGCGTGCACCAACATGTATCACTTCTGTATTGTTCATTATTATTAAACCGTTATATATATATGTATCCAACAATCCAACAACTTCGATGGCGTGTATTTTTCAAAAAAATTCGAATTCAGCAAAATAATCTAAACACTTCCTAATTCTATATGAACACTACAATGTATCTTGATTTTCTAGCTATTCATTATAAAAAAAATGATCGACGTGGAATAGAATAATTTTCATGA